CGCCGCCCCTCGGGGCGAAGCTGTGCTTCCCGGCCTGGTCTCGGGCCCTCGTCACTGGAGGTGGCGCATCGCCGGTGTTTCCGGGAGGGGGAAGAAATCGCCCAAACGGGAAACAACGGGGAGCGCGGCCCGGGGCGCTTTGTTTGCAGACAAAGAAAGGCCTTGTGTTCCCACGCAGGAACGGTCGCGTGGTTCCTGCCATGCTTACAAAAAAACCCCACAAACACAAAAAATAATAGTTCCACCCCCCCAAAAAAACCAGCATCAAACCATACGGGACGGAAGTTGAGTGCTCTCTTGAGTAAATAATGAGCTTTATGTGCTGTGCCTGCCCACGTGCTACCCTTCCTACACGCTCTGTTCCCTACCAGGGTTTGGGGCAGTTTTAAAGTACAGTCTTAAATACGGAACAGAAATCTTACTATTCATACTACCAGTTACCTGGAGAAAAACTGTAGTATTTCCTTTGAGGGGAGGAATTTAGGCATATATCGAATCCCAACATTTTCTTTTTTTTCTTTTTTTTTTTTTCCTTTTTTGATAGGTTTTGATAACAAAATAAAAGATGGACTGGACTGGAAAACATAATGGGCCAAACGATACAACTAATGATGGGACAGTGGTACGACTTCGAGGCCTCCCATTTGGCTGCAGCAAAGAAGAAATCGTTCAGTTTTTTCAAGGTATTTCTAGTACAGTCTAAGTATAGTCACTGAGTTTTCTTGTATCTTTTACACGATGCTATGCACGTTTTAATTTGTAATAGCTATTAACGGGGTGGATGGGAGGGATTGTGTTATTTTAGTTTATCCTAAGTGAGAATTATGCCTTGTAAATGAAGTACGAATAACCATAGATGTAGTAAAACGCAGTATGTATCTAACTTTGTCAAGGTGGTAAATGTATGTATTATGCATATTGGGATAACCGGAATGTTCGCATTTGGATCAGTTAAATTGCTTGATTGGTAGCTGTATTTTCTTCATGTAACTTAGGTGGCTGTGTTTTTGCATAGTTTAAACAGAAAAGAAGTATGGCTAAATCCATAAATGTTTAATGAGAGCTCTCTGGCTTGTATTGTTGGGGTGATGGGGGAAACGAGGTGGTTTTCTTTTTCGTTGTTGTTGTTTAGATATGCTTTAAGTATTTGCTACAGATGGGAATGTTTCAGCCTTTAACACTGTTCCCCTTGATGGGGTTATTTGTCCTTGGGTTAAAGGGTTGGAAATCGTGCCAAATGGGATAACATTGACGCTGGACTACCAGGGGAGAAGCACAGGGGAGGCCTTCGTGCAGTTTGCTTCAAAGGAGATAGCAGAAAATGCTCTGGGGAAACACAAGGAAAGAATAGGGCACAGGTGGGGATGGAGAGTTTGGGATGGTGTTAAATCTTTATTTTTGGGGGTTGTGGGTCAGTAATGCTTTTGGGGGGGTTGGGGACCATTCTATGGAACGGGCTGTTTTTTAAGAGTTTTTATAACTGATCCTAAGTTAACTTGGGGAATATGGTAGATTTGGGGGGTGGGGGAGACAGTATTGCTCTGGGTAGTTTGCTAAACTCAGAAAACTGTTTCAATCGCTCATGTGTAGGGTAATTTGTGATAAATGCTGCTATAGCTAGACACTGTTTTTCAACAGTATGTTCATCATACTGGAAAGACGTGTTTTATGCTTAATTTGTACAGCTAGAATTTTCATTGTAAAGTGTTCTGGGTTGTTTTTTTAAATACACTTAAGATTCTTTCGATTTTGAGGAGAAACTTAAGTTGTATGGTATGCCTAGTCACTCCTATTGGATTGTGCGCTTAGTTATAGAAAACGTAGTTTGGCCTTTTGTAATATTCAGGCAGCTTATGCATGTGTTCTTATTGGTGCCTTGAAAATCCTCTTTTATTAGATACATTGAAATCTTCAAAAGTAGTAAGAGCGAAATCAGAGGATTCTGTGACATGCCAAGAAGAATGATGGGACAACAACGACCTGGACCATATGATAGACCATTAGGAGGAAGAGGGGGTTATTATGGAGCTGGGCGTGGAAGTATGTATGACAGAATGCGTCGAGGAGGTGGTGGATATGACGGTGGTATGTTTATCTAATGAATGGAGGTTCTGTTGGCAGTTTCGTGTTTCTGGCATCCTTGTCAAGAAGTAAAGACATGGCAGTAGCTGCAGTACCCCTTGGGTTTGACACGTTTCTCGCAAAAACCTTTTCCTTGTATCAGAAAATGTGGCTTAGTAGTTAAGGTTAATGGAAGTAATAAGGAAACTGTATTCTCAGCAGAATTTGACCTCACTTGCATGTTTCAGTCGTTTCACTACATAAAAGGAATTTTGCGTTTGCACTCCGTTCAGAAATGCAGGTTTAACGGTCCGTAGAGGCTGTTGGCAAACTTCTGGGCGCCCAAAGACTGAAAAATTGTCTTGTGCATTGTTCTGTGAATTTTGAGTATAATGTGACCGTTCCTTTCTTTCCTCTCTGTTGCACAGGATATGGCGGCTTTGATGATTATGGTGGCTATAATAACTATGGCTATGGAAATGATGGATACGATGACAGAATGAGGGATGGGAGAGGTAAATCTTATTTTTTATGGTTTGTTTAGGACAATTTTTGTACTGTTTGAGGCGTAAGATGTATTTCAAAGACAGAAATAGTGGCTTTCTTCATTAGATGATTTTGTAAAGAAAGTTGTTTAAAAAGAGGTGAGGGGGTTGAGGGGTCTCGGGGAAAATGTGAATATATTGCTTAGGATATCTTCTGGGTAAGGTTTTCGATTGGCAGATGGGACGTGTAAATCTTACATTCAGTGGCATAAAGTGAGTGCATGAGGACTTTTCTGCCTTTTCACGATGATCTTACAGGAGTGTGGTTTGTTTTGGTTTGGATTTTTTAATAGGCATGGGAGGACATGGCTATGGTGGAGCTGGAGATGGAGGGTCGGGTTTCCATGGTGGCGGTCATTTTGTTCACATGAGGGGACTGCCTTTTCGAGCAACGGAAAACGATATTGCTAATGTAAGTACGGTGAGGGAAAGGACTTTCTAAGCCTAAGAGTTCCTGTGGTGTTCTTGTCTCTCCTGTTCACAGCTGGGTGGAGTTCTCAAGGCCCTTCATGGCAGTTTTAATGATAAAGGTATTGTCTGAGGTAAGATGACTGAAAAAGTCAGCCAGACAGTATTTTAACATCTCCATACTCTGCGTCTCCATGTATTAGAGAGAGAACAAAGGGTGGTTCAATCTGTATCCTCAGTTTAAGCCTTTCAGAAGATTTACAGTTGTGTGGAAGAGCTACAGGAGGTGTGAAACTCTGGTTGTAGTTTGTTGCTGGGGGTTACCCCTGGTCAGCAATCAGCTACCCGGCTGCTTGCTCACCTGCCCCGGTGCGATGGGGTGGTTGAGGTAAGAACAGTAATCTAAAATAAATCAAATAATGATACTAATATTAATAATATGTAATTAAGAGAATGGAAAACAGATTATAAAAACTGCTCATGGCTCACTGACCGCTGCCCAGTGAGAGCCAGAGAGCCTGAGTCCCAGAGCCAGGCCAAGCCCAAGAAGAGACGGACCCCCCAGCTCACATGCTGAGCTTGGCGTTTGCTGGCATGAGCTACCCCTTTGCATCTGCTCCGTACTAGCTACCGTGAGGAAAATTAACTCTGTCGCCACTAAAACCAGTACATTTGTATGCTGCTCTGAGGCTTGTTTTAGGCAGGCCAGAGTGGGAAAACTAGGGAGCTGTGCTCAGTTGGAGGGAAGGTGCCTCGTTACTGGTAAGGGTGGCAGGTAAAAGCACATCTGCAGGATTTTGGGACTGTGTTCTTGTGCCAGTATACATGCGGTGTCTGTAAGGGAAAGGTTTTCCTGGGACAGAAGGCCTGGTTTAAACATACCCGCTCTTGGGGGGGTGGGGGAGGGCTTCATCTTTATTAGTTGCATCTGTATAATACATGTGCAGAACTCCATTCCTGAACTTGTGCTTAGCTGATTGTGGTTTGGGGTTTTTTCCTCTTAACTGGGCTGTATTTTCTTCTGTCAGTTTGATTGTTTTCTTTTGTTTTGAGACTTAAGGGCCAGAGTTCAGGCTTTGATTCAGAGCGTGTTGCTGCGAGTTGATGAGTAGTACTCCAGTAGTACACCAAAAGTGTGTTTGCACGTGGTGTTTGGGAAGAAGGCTGCTGGTCAGAAATACTCTTTTTTTTTTTTTTTTTAAGAGTTCTGTAGCAAGGAACGGAGTCCTCTTTGCTTCCTAAATTCCATAAGTACACCCCTGCTTTGGGAAATCTATTGCCTCTTCAAAACCCGAGTAATTGCTTTCCAGGGTGGCATCAGCTTGCTGCTTAAAGTGGTGTGAGTGGGCAGGAGTTCTTTCTCTTGTATCTTTGCTCTTAAAGAAAGCTCCTCAAGCTGTGTAGCTGGAGCTCTGCAAGTTGTGTCATAATCCTAGATTGGATGTTGTCGTGGTTTAACTACGGCTAGCAAAACACCACGAAGCCGCTCTCACAAATCCCCCTCCCTCCTCCAGTGGAGGGGACGAATCGGAGGAAAAAGAAATAAGGAAGCTCGTAAAATTGAGATAAGAACTATTTACTGATTAAATCTAAATTAATATATACAAGTACTACTACTACTAAATAATTAGAACAACAGAAAATAAAACATATGATACAATATGATACAATTTCTCACCACCCACTGACCAGTGCAGAACAAAATGCTGAGTAGCAGGAGTCAGACCCAAAGAGCCTGAGAGCCGCAGCCTGAGGGCTGGAGCCCGAGCGCTGCCGCAGGCGACTTCAAG